TAACACAGGATGGCAAGTACTGGCTAATTACACATACAGACTTAACACAGGATAGCTAGTACTGGCTAACTACACATACAAACTTGACACAGGATAGCTAGTACTAGTTAACTACACAAACTTAACACAGGATAGCTAGTACTGGCTAACTACACATACAAACTTGACACAGGATAGCTAGTACTGGCTAACTACACATACAAACTTGACACAGGATAGCTAGTACTGGCTAACTACACAAACTTGACACAGGATAGCTAGTACTGGCTAACTACACATACAAACTTAACACAGGATAGCTAGTACTGGCTAACTACACAAACTTGACACAGGATAGCTAGTACTGGCTAACTACACATACAAACTTGACACAGGATAGCTAGTACTGGCTAACTACACATACAAACTTGACACAGGATAGCTAGTACTGGCTAACTACACAAACTTGACACAGGATAGCTAGTACTGGCTAACTACACATACAAACTTGACACAGGATAGCTAGTACTGGCTAACTACACATACAAACTTGACACAGGATAGCTAGTACTGGCTAACTACACAAACTTGACACAGGATAGCTAGTACTGGCTAACTACACATACAAACTTAACACAGGATAGCTAGTACTGGCTAACTACACAAACTTGACACAGGATAGCTAGTACTGGCTAACTACACATACAAACTTGACACAGGATAGCTAGTACTGGCTAACTACACATACAAACTTAACACAGGATAGCTAGTACTGGCTAACTACACATACAAACTTGACACAGGATAGCTAGTACTGGCTAACTACACATACAAACTTGACACAGGATAGCTAGTACTGGCTAACTACACATACAAACTTGACACAGGATAGCTAGTACTGGCTAACTACACAAACTTGACACAGGATAGCTAGTACTGGCTAACTACACATACAAACTTGACACAGGATAGCTAGTACTGGCTAACTACACATACAAACTTAACACAGGATAGCTAGTACTGGCTAACTACACATACAAACTTGACACAGGATAGCTAGTACTGGCTAACTACACATACAAACTTGACACAGGATAGCTAGTACTGGCTAACTACACATACAGACTTAACACAGGATAGCTAGTACTGGCTAACTACACATACAAACTTGACACAGGATAGCTAGTACTGGCTAACTACACATACAAACTTGACACAGGATAGTTAGTACAGGCTAACTACACATACAAACTTGACACAGGATAGCTAGTACTGGCTAACTACACATACAAACTTGACACAGGATAGCTAGTACTGGCTAACTACACAAACATAACACAGGATAGTTAGTACTGGCTAATTACACATACAACATAACACAGGATAGTTAGTACTAGTTAACTACACAAACTTAACACCATATAGCTAGAACTGGCTAACTACACATACAAACTAGTTAACTACACATACAAACTTAACACAGGATAGTTAGTACTGGCTAACTACACATACAAACTTAACACAGGATAGCTAGTACTGGCTAACTACACATACAAACTTGACACAGGATAGCTAGTACTGGCTAACTACACATACAAACTTGACACAGGATAGTTAGTACTGGCTAACTACACAAACTTAACACAGGATAGTTAGTAATGGCTAACTACACAGACAAACTTAACACAGGATAGTTAGTACTGGCTAACTACACATACAAACTTGACACAGGATAGCTAGTACTGGCTAACTACACAGACACACTTAACACAGGATAGCTAGTACTGGCTAATTACACATACAGACTTAACACAGGATGGCTAGTACTGGCTAACTACACACACAAACATAACACAGGATAGCTAGTACTGGCTAGTACACATACAGACTTAATACAGGATGGCTAGTACTGGCTAATTACACATACAGACTTAACACAGGATAGCTAGTACTGGCTAACTACACATACAAACTTGACACAGGATAGTTAGTACTGGCTAACTTCACATACAAACTTAACACAGGATAGCTAGTACTGGCTAATTACACAGACAAACTTAACACAGGATAGTTAGTACTGGCTAACTACACATACAAACTTGACACAGGATAGCTAGTACTGGCTAACTACACAGACACACTTAACACAGGATAGCTAGTACTGGCTAATTACACATACAGACTTAACACAGGATGGCTAGTACTGGCTAACTACACACACAAACATAACACAGGATAGCTAGTACTGGCTAGTACACATACAGACTTAACACAGGATGGCTAGTACTGGCTAATTACACATACAGACTTAACACAGGATAGCTAGTACTGGCTAACTACACATACAAACTTGACACAGGATAGCTAGTACTGGCTAACTACACATACAAACTTGACACAGGATAGCTAGTGCTGGCTAACTACACATACAAACTTGACACAGGATAGTTAGTACTGGCTAACTACACAAACTTAACACAGGATAGTTAGTAATGGCTAACTACACATACAAACTTGACACAGGATAGCTAGTACTGGCTAACTACACATACAAACTTGACACAGGATAGCTAGTACTGGCTAACTACACAAACTTGACACAGGATAGCTAGTACTGGCTAATTACACATACAAACTTGACACAGGATAGTTAGTACTGGCTAACTACACATACAAACTTAACACAGGATAGCTAGTACTGGCTAACTACACATACAAACTTAACACAGGATAGTTAGTACTGGCTAACTACACAAACTTAACACAGGATAGTTAGTAATGGCTAACTACACATACAAACTTAACACAGGATAGCTAGTACTGGCTAACTACACAGACAAACTTAACACAGGATAGCTAGTACTGGCTAACTACACATACAAACTTAACACAGGATAGTTAGTACTGGCTAACTACACATACAAACTTGACACAGGATAGCTAGAACTGGCTAACTACACATACAAACTTGACACAGGATAGTTAGTACTGGCTAACTACACACACAAACATAACACAGGATAGTTAGTACTGGCTAACTACACATACAAACTTGACACAGGATAGCTAGTACTGGCTAACTACACAGACACACTTAACACAGGATAGCTAGTACTGGCTAATTACACATACAGACTTAACACAGGATGGCTAGTACTGGCTAACTACACATACAAACTTAACACAGGATAGCTAGTACTGGCTAACTACACAGACACACTTAACACAGGATAGCTAGTACTGGCTAATTACACATACAAACTTGACACAGGATAGCTAGTACTGGCTAACTACACAGACACACTTAACACAGGATAGCTAGTACTGGCTAACTACACAAACTTAACACAGGATAGTTAGTACTGGCTAACTACACAAACTTAACACAGGATAGCTAGTACTGGCTAACTACACATACAAACTTGACACAGGATAGCTAGTACTGGCTAATTACACAGACAAACTTAACACAGGATAGCTAGTACTGGCTAACTACACATACAGACTTATTAACACAACACCATAGGGATTGGCTTTGCCAGCAGAGGCTACACATAATGTAACAACATGCCACAGTAACCTGCACTTAAGATTAAGACTGTGGTTTGAATAGTGGAAAAAGCTTATGATAATATAAGCACTTCATAACTTAAAAAGATAGAAATAAAGCAAGTAACATGAATCTGCTACATTTTTTACTCTCAAAGTGTAGGAGAAACTTATCCTACAAATATAAAAACTCATTTTACTTTTCCATTAGATATGCACTGTGAGTTGTTTGAAATTATAGAGCCAAAATAATTTATTGTTAACCAAAAATGTTAAGATAAACACAGACTTACATATTCAATAGCCTTACATTAAAAGAAAAATAAGGAATTAACCCTCTCTACTTTACTTAACTGACTACTTAAAAGTATAATCACAAACATAAAAAGAACCGAAAAAAAAAAATGAATATGATTGTCTTGACTTTTGAGCCAAAGAATGAACTCCATAACATTCTAATCTTCAATACTATATATTATTACCTACTCAATTTAGTTATCAAACGTATGTATTTAACAAAGAAAAAGTGAGTTAAAAGACAAATATTCTAGATCTACTGAAATAAAAAGATATTTATTTTTTAAAAAAAGTTTTTCTTTAACTTGCCTCAGTTTGCAAATGCTCTAGACTCTATTTAAATTTATTAAATTAAGAAAGAAGTAGGGCCTAGTTAAAATTAATATAATAAACTTTAAAAAGTCTAATAATTTGCTAATTAATAAAGACAAATAATGACACAAGACTTTTTAGGTTTTTTCACTGCAGTCTTTTAAATAAAGTTCTTAATGTCTAGGCCCTAGGCTATAGATCTAGATAGACTATAGACTATAGACTAGTTCTAAATTGTAGATAACTGAATAACAAATTTATTCATAGGCCTAAATTAATAGCATATATTTTGTAAGCTAATACCTAACCAGTAACACTAACAAATATGATAAATAACTTTAAAAGTTATAACAACTTTTTTTTAACTAACAGAGTCTAGAGATCTATTACTTATAACTTATTAACTTTATAAATAAAGTTATAAAACTCTTCTCTCCCCCCCCCCCCCCCCCCCCCCCCCCCCCCCCCAATTGAGACATTTTTTTTTACTTTTAGATTCTAGTTTTACCTAAAGAAATCAGGGGGAAAGCAATCAAAATTATTTGTAGAATTTAGTTTTTTAGACTGGTGTTTTAGTTTTTCAATTTTAGATCTAGAATCTAGATCTACTTTCTATATCTTTACTTTAAATATTCTAGATCTAGAATTCTAGATCTTAGTTCTTAGAGTTTAGTTAGTTAGACTCTAGATCTATAGAGTATAGATCTAGTTAACTCTGTCTCTAGTCTCTAGTCTAGTACTTAGTGGCTATGCCCTCCTATGCCTATGCCGCCCTATGCTAGGCCTAGTCAGTAGTCATAGATCTAATAATAATATAATATCATCTAGAACAAAAAAAAAGCTTTAATAAATACAATACTCACATTATCTTTCATGTTTACATAAGCTCCACGTGTAAAGAAAACGATGTTCTAATTTCTAAGCAGCCAGAGTTAATTTTAAATGTGTATCCTCTATTGTCGGCCTTTAGTTCTGTCACAATAACATCGCAAGTAGAAATCTACCCCTCGACCCGGAAGTTGTCAAAACTTTTTTTTCTGGGTCAACTGTCACTGAAAAAAAAATGTGCCGGTCATATGTTAGTATTGTTATGTTAGGGACTTAGGGGGTCGTACACTTGTGACGTCCGCACTGAGGAGGAGGGGGATGTAAACAAATCGACTTTTGTAGGCTGGAGGGCGAGTTCGATCTTGTTGAATTTAACATTAAAGTACTTACATTTTAAAACAATCATAATACTATTATCCTTTGTATAAACAGATATCGACTGCAAACCCGCGTGTTTATTTTTAAAAAGGTCAGTAATTTTGTGATGAGGGAGCGTGGGTGGGTAGTGTGACGTCGCACTCTTGCATTTTAAAAACTAGTGTTAGAAACTGAAATGTAGCCGTTGTTTAGCGGTTTAGACAGTAGCGTAGCGAGGGGGGGGGCGGGGGGGGGACATATGTCCCCCGGGCGCCGACCTTAGGGGGGGCGCCAAAATGAAAGTTTGAGGGGGGGGTGCAAATGAAAAGTTCGAGGGGGGGGGGTGCAAATCGAAAGTTTGAGGGGGGGGGTGCAAATGAAAAGTTCGAGGGGGGGGGGGTGCAAATCGAAAGTTTGAGGGGGGGGGGGTGCAAATGAAAAGTTCGAGGGGGGGGTGCAAATCGAAAATTTGCTCTCGAGGGGGCGCCAAATTGGAAGTATGTCCCCGGGCGCCGGGAAGGGTCGCTACGCCTCTGGGTTTAGAAACCTGTTTTAATAAGTGGTAATATAAATTGATTAAAATACTCTATGTTGACGAAGCTTTGTCAATATTTAAGAAAAAATAATCGATGTTTTAAAAAAGAATCTTCTGCAATTTTGAGAGAGATAGAGCAGTGTTTCTTCGAGACTTTTTTCTCCGGGGGGCACTTGAAATTTTCGGGGGGGGGGGGGGGGGCGGTAGACTTTCTTCGGGGGGGGGGGGGGCGGACACTGTTAAAAGTATATATTTTCTATATAAAATTATATAAAATTTCATTTCGTTCGGGGGGGGGGGGGGGTGGTAAAAAAATTTCAGGGGGGGGGGGGGGGGGCCGAAGAGATGCCTGGAAGAAACTCTGAGAAAGAGAGAGAGAGAGAGAGAGAGGATGGAGTGGGGTTGTCATTGTAGGCGGAGGTATGACGTCATTTTAAAAGGGGTCGGGATTTTTGTGGCAGTGTGGGACGGAAGGGGGGGGGGGGGGGGTAAAACGTCAAAAACATCGTGCCGTCATTTTCTGGATGATCCCTTACGTATAATTAGATCATACTGCATCAGTGTTTCTTTTTTCTCTGGGGGGGGGGGGGGGCGCTTAAAATTTTCGGGGGAGGGGGCGGTAGACTGTTAATAGTCTGTTAAAACACTGTTAAAGACACTGTTAAAAGTATATATTTTCTATATAGTTTTCATTTCGTTCGTAGATTTTTTTTCGGGAGGGGGGGGGCAGACCCAGAAGAGATGCCTGGAAGGAACTCTGTTGTACGGTATTCACCCACCCTGGTGTTGTTCATACCGTTAATGACGTCACGATGTCTTATGACTTAACCACCCCCCCCCCCCCCTTCCCCCTTCCTTCCCCGCGCTAACGTTACATATCTAAACACAATTAAGGAACCCAGTATCTAAAATGACGCCACACCAGTGCCATAGCTAGATCGGGTGTCACCCGGTGCGGCACCTCACGGTGTCACACCCCCCCCCCCCATCATTTTGTATCTGTAAATGTAAATCTTTTCAGCCGGTGTCACCTCCCCCCCTCACCGCCCCCGCCTCGCGAAGCCTCTGCGTCACACATCAGTCTATATCATCCTTGTCAAAGTTGAAGTCTATCTTCTTTCTCAGTGGTTCTAAGCCTGGGTTCGATCGAACCCCAGTGGTTCGGTTAGTCAGACGCAAGGGTTCGACGGAGATCAAGCCACAAGACTAATGCGATTCACAATCGGATTTTGTCAGTGCGGACGATAGAACTTTCAAGAAGGGTTCGGTGAATGGAATGCGCAAACTCTGCTTGCTATCTTCCAAACCAAGGCAATGCTCAATGAAAAAGGATTTTAAAACCTTAAAGAACAAAAGAACAATCTTGACTTTGTTATGAAACAAAACGTGAAGCCACAGATCACGACCATATTTATGTTACATATTGTACTTGCTACCCCGGTATATAAAGTAAAATATGGTTCTAAACTGTTCATTAACGATGCTAGTCTTTGCATCAGTCATTCAAATTAAAAACAAAAAACTCACACGAAAGAGAAATAAAAAAACACGGAACAAGATCTCTAAAGTGAAACATTGGTAAACGATTTACTGCTGTATCTGTAAGCTCTTTTTATAATTTTATTTGGTTTAAAAAATAAATTTTGCTATGTCATGTTCATGTCATGTTTGCCTGTCGTCCCTACTGTGACATAGGCCGCTGACTAGAGCTTTCTAGACGTCTCTGTCCAGGGCTAGTCTCTCCAACTGTCCCCAGGAGTATCAAATCTTCTTGTTGTCTTCTTCCAGGTCACGTCTCCAGGTCTTTCTTGGTCTGCCTCTCCTCCTCCTGCCTTGTGGATTCCATGTGAGGGCCTGTCTTGTTATGCTGGATACAGGCTTCCTGAGTGTGTGGGCCAATCCATTTCCATTTTCTCTGGAGGATCTCTACTTCAACTGGCAGTTGATTTGTCCGTTGCCATAGAACATCATTTCTGATGGTTTTAGGCCAGCGAATTCGCAGGATCTTTCTGAGGCATGCGTTTTATAAATGATTGTATTTTCTTCTTATTTATAGCAGTTATTCTCCATGTCTCGGCTCCATAGAGTAAAAACAGGTTTTACTAGTGTGTTAAAGATCCGGATTTTTATTCCAAGGGTTAAATCTCCAGAACCCCAAACATTTTTTTAGTTGGTTGAAGACTGCTCTTGCTTTGCCCGTCCTTATTTTTATATCTGCTTCTGTCCCACCCTGCTT